GCGGCTTGATGATCTCAGAGAGTATGGCTCCATCCCCCAAAACCCCAAAACCCCTTCTACTTAAATCTCATATTTATATGTGGATTAGTTAAATTTTATAATTAAGCAGATAAATACTAAATGATAAAATTGTGCAATTTACTGTTTTGTAAGGATAATTCAGGATTGCTATATAAATATTCTTCTTTCTTGATGTACATTACGTTCATTCAGGAGATTAATTGGTTTTATCATTACATAATTTGAATAGTTTGTTAGGTCTTTTCTATTTATTCTTTATGAAGATATCTAAACTATTTCTTCAAAATCTTCTGGATCAAATAACTCTATACGTTCTGATTCCTAATCTTTAAAGTCGAATACATCCGCTTTATTTTTTAGTTCTTCCTAAATTTTGTTTTCGTTAAAAATTTTAGGTGTTTATTGAGTGATTCCTCTAGCAGATTAATTAACTGATCTTTTGGCTCTCCGACTTGACTATTTAGGACTATTGGCTGAGCCTGATTTAGAAAGTAAACCTTATTTTTTGAATTTTGAAGGACTTGGAACTTCAAGTTTTTCTCTTGGATTGTCCATTATAGCATTGAAAGTTTACTATCCTTTAATGGCATCGTAGTCAATAGAATTCCTGTTTATTGCATTTCTCTCATTTGCCAAACATTTTAACGGTGAATCCTGGCATCCCAAATTTTTGCTCAAAGTATTGTAATCTTGCATAATCTAGTTGAATGTCATTCTACGACTTTTTTAGGACGATTGATAGTCAGAGCCTCTTCTTTAATCAAATTTTTTATTTTGCTCAAATTCTGCAAACCCAGAATACTAGTTATGCTACCTAAATTAGCTGAATTTTCTTTCATTATTTGAAGTATTTTTGATAGTCATAGGACTTTAAGGAAACCTCACTGCACTATTTCCAGAAAAAGGAGATAAAGAACTATTCCTGTTCTTTGAATTGTCCTATGAATTCACATTAAGAGAGTAATTAATGGCATCTAGTTCATCTGAGAACCATGGATGGTTTAAGGCTTCACTTGCAGTAGGTCGATTTTTTGGGCTATCGCTTAACAATTTTTCTAGAAAAGCTCGTAAGTTTATGCTGCATCGAAGTGACTATATTTAATGCCGTATGTTACATTTCATGTTATCAAAAAGTGCCTCCTTAGCAGTTTTTCCTTTAAATAATCCACTGCCAGTAATAACATTATAGAGTATTGAGCCTACACTAAAAATATCAGATTTAAAAGTATAATCTTCGCCTTTTAACACCTCAGGTGCTACGTATCCAGGAGTACCAAAAATGTTCTCAACATTTACTCCATCTTTTAATTCTATTGCAAAACCAAAATCTGCCAAAAAAGCATCTGGATTTTATGTATCGTCGTCAAAGGATAGCAAAATATTTTCTGGCTTTAGATCTCTGTGGATAATATTTCTATTTTACATATAATCTGCTGATAAGAGAAGTTGCATCGCTATTTGGCGCACTTGCGATTCTTTGAACCTTTTTCCTCATTTTATCTAGTCTCTAAGTGTTCCTCCTCTAATGTAGTCAATTAGTAAATAAATTGTGTGTTCATCCTCTGACACCTAGTTTATCTTTATAATGTTACCACATTCCATGCTTCTTTAAATTCTAATTTCATTCATCAATTACTCTCTTAACTAGATATCGCTGAAGGGTTATTTACTAATTGCTTTAAGTGCAAACTTTTCCGGGACTACATCATAAGTCTAGATCTTGTAAACTCTGGAATAAGAACCTCTGCCCAATTCTTTTAGTATTTTATATTTTTTAGGATCTATACGAATTATTTATTTATCTAATAGGTTAAGCCATTTATTTTTAATTTCTTGATCTCTACAATTATACATCGAAAAACGGTACTCAAATGATCTTCTTTTTACGATGAAAATTAATGGATCTTCTTGTTCAACCCAAAATTAAGAGAATTCTATATCAAGGTGTAGCAATTAAGCTTAATTCTATTCCTGTGATTAAATTGTTAGTATGTTCTCAAATAAACTGGTAGTATATAATCCTTAGGTAAATTCCTGATTATTGCTACAAATCATAAAATCTGATTCTATCTGATTAATTGAATTTCCAAGCAATTCCTAAAATTTCTATTCTTCCATTGGTTCGAATGAAAAGTTTTTAGGATAAAATTCATCAAATATAGAGCATTTCATTGTGTTCTAAGGCATCTCTATTATTGTATAAATGCAATAATATAAAATATCTCAATTTAAGATAAAGTGTTACTTTATTTATGATATTGCTTTTACTTGTAAATTTATTCCACAGGGGTTTTGGGGTTTTGGGGTTTTGGGG